ATCCAGGAGGACTCCCAAGTTGCGGGCCCTCTCTGAGGGGGCCAAAATTTCGCCCCCTATAGTCAGCGATGGGGTCAGCTGACTATGCCGAGGTGCCGGCAGCCACAGCCACTCAGTCTTGGAAGGGTTGAGCCTGAGTCTGTTCCTCCCCATCCAGACCCGTACGGCCTCCAGGCAACGGGTCATCACGTCAAGGGCATCGTTGGGGTGGCCTGGGGTGGAAATGTACAGCTGCGTATCATCAGCGTACTGATGGAAAGTGTTACAATGCCTCCTGAACAAAAGTATTGCGAAATGGTTTTACAAATTAAAAAAATATACCCTAACAATATGGTGAGACCATGTGGTAGTGGACTAATTGGGAGGAGTAGAGGGTCCAATAATAAAATTCTGTTAGGTTGCAGAACCCACAGTGATTTTCGTCATTTGTATAATATTTCAATTTATTTATTTAGAAAATTTATGTAGCCGCCTACTCGCTCTCAGTGACTGTAGGTGGCTTACAAACAATAAAAACACAGTATAGATTTTTTTAAAAGAAAATAATAATAACCCACACACATACACAGTGACAACAAACACTCATATCAGCCATTTAACGGTCTCCATCCCACTCTGGGTTCTCCAGGCCCGCTGGCAAAATCACATCTTCAGTCCCTTACGAAAGAGTGCCAGAGTGGGGTCCAGTTTAATTTCTGAAGAGATGATGTTCCGGAGAGAGGGAGCCACTACAGAGAAGGCCCTTCTTCTGGGTCCCTCCAGATGCACCTCCATAGGGGACGGGACCCGCAACGTTCCTTGCCTCCCCACTCTAGTGGATCAGGTAGATGTGACCGGCAAGAGACGGTCCCTCAGATAACACAGATAACAAGAGAAGGACGAGGGGGGACATGATAGCAGTCTTCCAATATCTCAGGGGTTGCCACAAAGAAGAGATAGTCAAGCTATTCTCCAAGGCGCCTGAAGGCAGGACAACAAGCAAAGGGTGGAAACTAATCAAGGAGAGAAGCAACCTAGAACTAAGGAGAAACTTCCTGACAGTTAGAACAATTAACCAGTGGAACTACTTGCCTCCAGAAGTTGTGAATGCTCCAATACTGGAAGTGTTTAAGGAAAAACTGGACAGCCATTTGTCTGAAATGGTATAGGGTTTCCTGCCTGAGCAGGGGGTTGGACTAGATGACCTCTGAGGTCCCTCCCAACTTTATTATTATTATTATTACATTTGATAGGCAGAAATCCGAACTATTCCTCCCATTTTTCTACAGATAAGACATGAAAGAAGAGAAAAGTCTCCAACAGGCATCTAAAACATTTAATAGGAGATAGTTCACAAATTACACATGATGATGTATTACCCCTGGAATTTCTACTGCTTTATTTGATTACCCCAACATTTGGAAGGAAAAAAAAACATTTTGACTGTAATTTGTCCAATATTAATATCTTGCTCGGAAAACCACTCTGAAAGGGGAAGTTGGTAGATTTCTCCTCATGCACCTTCCATGTTCTAAAATACTTGGGAGAGACTTTGCTGGTCAATTCCAGTGTCTCTTTCGTCTGATCTCTGTCCTTCTTTTCAGGAAGGGCAAAACCACTTTGCTGAAACATATTGCTAACCGGGCCTTGAGCATCCCTCCCAACATTGATGTACTGCTCTGTGAACAAGGTAAAGGAATAACAGGGGGGGAAAACAGCCAAGCAACTCTTGGGCTCATTGACCCCATTTTGGGGAGAGGGATTAAAACTCCTCTATGTTGCTGGGCTGATGAGGTTTGAAATCTAGTGCCCGGTTGTAGCATGCCGGTCAGTTTGCTATCTTTTCTCTTAGGCAGAGAGCACTTTCTGTCGTTTCTCACTTTAGACCAGGGGTCTCCAAACTTGACAACTTAAAGACTTGCGGACTTCAACTCCCAGAATTCCCAGCATGGCTGGATGAGGAATTCTGGGAGTTGAAGTCCACAAGTCTTAATGTTGCCAAGTTTGGAGATCCTTGGTTTAGACCAGGGGTAGGCAATCTTGGCTCTTTTATGACTCATGGACTTCAACTCCCAGAATTCCTGAGCCAGCCATGCTGAGGGGAAAGGGAGAGGTTTCCAAGCTGAGCCATGCTGGCTCAGGAATTCTGGGAGTTGAAGTCCAATGAGTCATAAAAGAGCCAAGGTTGCCTACCCCTGGTTTAGTTACCCCTTTGTAACTCATGAAACCAAGGACTTTCTGGAACTAGTGAACTAGCACCATAATCTGTGTTTAAACATGACAGGAAGCTCAGACTTTTCTGATTGGCTGTCAGATCTCTTAGCTGCCCAGTTTCCCATCGTTTGATGACATTAAAGTCCATAAACAGATAACCTCCTGCATGTGGAAGACAAGCCTATATTGCTTGTCTTTTATTGCCACCCTGTTTGCTATTTCAGGATTCAAAGAGATGTGTTCTCCCCCCCCCATTTGTTTGAAAGGTTTTAGCCTTCCATAAAATCACGCTATTAGGCTCGTTGGTGCCCTGTTCACCCAGATGATCTTCTTTCCATTTCCTCCTCTTCCTCTTCCTCCTCACAGAGGTTATTGCGGATGAGACTCCGGCAGTCCAAGCGGTGCTCAAGGCTGACACCAAGCGACTGAAGCTGTTGGAGGAGGAGAAGCATCTGCAGGCACAGCTGGAGAAAGGGGATGATGCAGCAGCAGAACGCCTGGAAAAGGTATGCAGGAGCCATGATGGGCTTTTTATCCCGGGTGTGGGAACAGGTTGCCCGTGATTCATTGACAGGTAGTTCTCGACGTGCGACTGGTTACTTAGCAATTGTTTGAAGTGACATCAGACCTAACAGCTTCCCCCTCCCCCAACTCTGCATCCGGCCCACTTTTTTGATGATTTGCAGTGTCCTGCGGTCACATGACCACAATTTATGACTTTTTTTTTTGCTGGAAACTTCCATTTACTGTACTTCCGGTTTCTAGCAAAAAACATCCATTGTGGATAATGGATTCGCATAGCAACTGTGGCAATTCACTTAGTCTCGCCTTAGCCACGAAAGCCGAACGGGTGACTTGGCTCCACTCAATCTCTCTCAGCCCAACTTACCTCAGAGAGTTGCCGTTGTGGGAAAAATAGGGAGGGAGGGAGGTGTGTTGGATATGTTCGCCACCTTGAGTTGTTTATAAAAATAATAACAGGCAGGTTATTGAATAAATAAATAGCAGCTACAATCCCTGTTGGGCCAGTTTGGTACCTCTGTGATGAGGAGACAGGATGTCTCTCAACATCAGTGGCAGGGAATATGAAATGGACAGAGCCTTTGTTCGTAATACTGTGGGCGTCAGTTGAACTGGTCTAGGAAAGGATGTTGGACTAAGTCAGGGGTAGGCAACCTTGGCTCTTTTATGACTCGTGGACTTCAACTCCCAGAATTCCTGAGCCAGCATGGCTCAGCTTGGAAACCTCTCCCTTTCCCCTCAGCATGGCTGGCTCAGGAATTCTGGGAGTTGAAGTCCACGAGTCATAAAAGAGCCAAGGTTGCCTACCCCTGGACTAAGTAGTCCAGACTTTCCCAGCCTGGTGGCCCCAGATGTGTTGAGATGGCCACTCTCAGAATTTTCTAAAGTTTTTAGGGAATTGAATAGAAAATAATAGAATTGAAGGCCTGACTCTATCCTATCCTAACCCTGACCTTAACTCTAGCACCTGGAACGGCCTGTTATTCTCACATGTCCTTCCTATTCTTCCAGGTCTATGAGGAACTGCGGGCGACAGGAGCAGCGGCAGCAGAGGCCAAAGCTCGGCGAATCCTGGCTGGGTTGGGCTTCAACCCTGAGATGCAGAATAGGCAAACCAAGAAATTCTCAGGAGGCTGGCGCATGAGGGTCTCCTTGGCCAGGTAATTGTTGAAAGCTGAAGGATGGGAAATAACGTGGTAACTACTCCAAAGCAATCCACCCAGTTCACCACTTTCCTTATATTAGTCTGTCCTAAGCTGGCTCCCTCTGGATGGTTATGCTGGCTTCAGATGATGAACGCTGCATTTTAACACATCTGGAGAAGACCAGTTTGAGAAGCCTTCTGCTGGCTAGACCAATGTTTGGGCTTGATAAGAAGCACCTTCCAAACCCCTGTTGGTCTTCCTAAAAGTAATGGGAGAGATATTGTCTTGGTTTTTAGTAGTAGTAGTTGTAGTAGTAGTAGTAGTAGTAGTAGTAGTAGTAGTAGTAGTAGTAGTAGTAAGTAGTAGTAGTAGTAGTAGTAGTAGTAATAATAATAATAATAATAATAATAATAATAATAATAATAATAATAATAATAAAGTTGGAAGGGACCTTGGAGATCATCTAGTCCAACCCCCTGCTCAGGCAGGAAACCCTATACCATTTCAGACAAATGGCTGTCCAGTCTCTTCTTAAAAACTTCCAGTGTTGGAGCATTCACCGTTTTTGGAGGCAGGTTGTTTCATTGGTTAATTTTTCTAACTGTCAGGAAGTTTCTCCTTAACAAATCCAAAACTCAAGAAACTCTCTTATGGCTTTGTATCCAATCCTTTTTTTGATAGAGAGAGAGAGAGAGAGAAAAGACACTAATATAACTTTGTCAGTAAGTGTGTGATGGTTGTTGATAACATTATCCAGGGCCTATGGGTATCCAATTGGGAATAATTGCTTTAGCTAGATTGCCCTGAGTGGATCAGAGACCACTCTCTGGTTGCAACTGAGCATGCATGTGATAAACTAATCTTCCCTTCCTGTTCTAATACTTTTCTTCTCCCCCACCCCTGCCTCTCCTTAAATGGATTTTTTTTTCCTGGTTGCTGGGCTTAACATTCTGTAGCATTTCTTCTATGTCGCTTCTGCTCAGTGGGGCATCAACGCCCTTTCTGCTCTGCTCCCTCACTGCTTCTTCTGTCTCCTTCCTTGAGTCTCAGATACAAGCAGTCCTCGAATTACAGTTGGTCACTTACCAAGCGTGCAGAGTTATGACGGACTCTGAAAATAGGACTTCTGACCCGATCATTTCTTTTTTTTTCAGAGCCTTGTTCATGGAGCCCACATTGCTGATGCTTGATGAACCTACCAATCACTTGGATCTCAATGCGGTCATCTGGCTTAATAAGTAAGTCACCAGTTAAGCATCCGGGGAAGTCAGTTGCTCTGGGTTTAAGTCTCCTTCGAGTTATGGGACATAGTTACAGAGCAGATAAATACCTTGGCAAATCCCAGAAGAACATAGTAAAGGTGTATGTCTGGGCCACATGTAAACAAAACCTCTTTTACTCTTACCTTTTGTTTCTCTTAATGACACTGCAAGTGGTTCTAGCAGCATATAAAGAGATTGCGTACACATTTGTAAAATGTATTGTCTATAATGTATTATTACATGCCATCTTTTGTTTCATTAAATCAATTTCTAACCTGCCTTTCCATCTGTCAACAGACTCAGGGCAGCTATTTACTAGTATTTAGTAGTATTTAAAAACAAATGTATATATTTGAATATTGTGCCAAATATAGCAGATGCTAATATCTTAGCTGAATGAAACAGAAATAACGAAATATATTATTCAGGGCTCTTTTCTGTAACACTAGTTGCATCATTCTCATATTTACATTCTCGATCACAGAGATATATCTCAGAGTGAGAGGAGTTAGAGCAGTGTTTCTCAACCTTGGCAATTTTACGATGTGTGGACTTCAACTCCCAGAATTCTCCAGCTAGCGTTGCTAGCTGGAGAATTTTGGGAGTTGAAATCCACACATCATAAAGTTGCCAAGGTTGAGAAACACTGAGTTAGAGTTATTGAAGTCAGTCCTAACGTAGAACAGCCCACTCTTTGTTTAGCGACTATCTCAGTGACCATTCACAAATCAACAGTAATCATAATAAAAAAATGTTTTTTAACCAATGTGCCTGACAACAAAAGCCTTCAGTGAGAAACTGATTAAGGTCTGGCCAGTTTCAGGCAGTAGCTGAGGGTTCTAATGAATGAATTATGGTCACAGAGCTGATGTTGTTAATTTACCTTTAACACTTTTTAGGGCCATACTGCACCATGGAACAAAGCAGCTCATAAAGAGAGATATAGCTTACATAGGCAATCTTTCCACCCTCAAAAAAAAAGGGGGGGGAGTGCTCAAGCACAAGACACTGTGAGAGCACAAGACACTAAAATGAGATAGCAGCAATCAGCGATCTTCACATCTGTCTCTCAGTCAAGTGGTCAGTTAGTGACCATTCCACTTAACAACCAAGTTGTGGTACCAGGAGTGTGGTCGCTAAATGAGGGGAGGGTGAAGTAGTTGTTGTAACTGTTATTATTTTAATTCCCTTCTGTTCTTCTTCTTTCAGCTACCTCCAGACATGGAAGAAAACCCTTCTCATTGTTTCCCATGACCAGGGATTCTTGGATGATGTGTGTACAGATATCATCCACTTGGACATGCAGAAACTTTTCTATTACCGGGGAAACTATAGTGAGTAGTGATAAGGGTAAGGGAAGGTGGCTTTGTGAGATAGGCAGCTATAGGCTAAAACATATAAGGAACGGTTGCTGGAATTGGGTATGTCTAATTTAACAAAGAGAAGGACTAGGGGGGACATGATAGCAGTGTTCCAGTATCTCAGGGGCTGCCACAAAGAAGAGGGAGTCAAGCTATTCTCCAAAGCGCCTGGAGGCAGGACAATAAGCAACGGGTGGAAACTAATCAAGGAGAGAAGCAACTTAGAACTAAGGAGAAACTTCCTGACAGTGAGAACAATTAACCAGTGGAACAACCTGCCTCCAAAAGCAGTGAATGCTCCAACACTGGAAGTTTTTAAGAAGAGACTGGACAGCCATTTGTCCAAAATGGTATAGGGTTTCCTGCCTGAGCAGGGGGTTGGACTCGATGACCTCCAAGGTCCCTTCCAACTCTATTATTATTATTATTATTATTATTATTATTATTATTATTATTATTATTATTATTATTATTATTATTATTATTATGCTAAATAAAATAAAGAGAGAAAGTGGCAAAAACAAGAACGAGGGAACCCAGCTGGCAAGCACATAAAATACGTAATTCTTGGATTCATAACGTGAAAATCTGTATTTCAAGCCACAAAGTTTGAGTGTTTGCTTTTAAAATCCATTTTAAAGAAACGATTTTGAAAACCAACGTTCAGACTTCATGATTTCAAGTATAGATTTCTACACGATGAACCCAAGGAGTTATCCTCCTTTGAAGATGTTATCTTAAAATGACCCATCCACTTTGAACTAAATGTCAAACGTTTTGAATTGCTGGGTGTTTTTGATGAGTGAGAAAATGCCCAGTGTTGCAAGCTGCTGTGCTTCACATATATTGATCCGGTTCCCTGGAACATTACTTAATGCTGCTGTATGTGACTTAACACTTTTTTCCTGCTTTAGGGGGGGGAAAATCCAGGAGAGAATTTAATGTTTCGTTTGTCCCTTGAAAAGATAGAATGAAAGGGGGTTATTGCAAAAATGGCAGAAGACCCAGAGCATGGCTGCGGGAGAAATAACTGGGATGTTGCTGTTTTAGGGGTGACCTTAACTTGAATAAGTTGCTCCCTTCAAAGAGATGTAATTTTTTTTTAAACTGCTTTGGTATGAGAGGCTGCTTTAAAGATATCTAAGTGGGTTCACGCCTGCGCGAGGTTCAAAAGACTGTTTCCAAATTATTTCTAGGTCCTAAGCAAAATTCATTATGGGCTCATCAAATCTACCCCCTTGCCAAATTCTCTGCATTATAAATAATCCTCAACTTATGACCACAATTGAGCCAAAACCTTCCATTACTAAGCAAGGCAGTTGTTAAGCGAATCACGCCTCATTTTATGATCATGTTTGCCACCTTTGTTAAGTGAATCACTGCAGTTGTTAAGTGAATCATGTCATTAAGTGAATCTGGCTTCCCCCATTGACTTTGCCTATTGGAAGCCGGCTGAGAAAGTTATAAATCGGTGCCACTGTCATAAGTATGCACCAGTAGCCAAGTGCCCAAAATTTTATCCTTGGGCATGCTACAACGGTCATAAATGTGAAAATCAGTCATAAGTCATTTTTTTCAGTGCTGCTGTAACTTTGAATGGTGGTAACTTGAGGACTGCCTGCAGTCCAGTCCATTTTTTTCCTCAAAACATAGGAACTTTAAAATGTGTGGATTTCAACTCCCAGAGTTCCCAGCCAGCTATGCTCTAGGAATTAAAAATCCACACGTCCATCTTAAAGTTGCCATCGTTGAGAAACACTGTCCTAATCAAATAGATTGATATGCCAGAAGGACAAAGGAGGGGCCTGTAGTGGGTGAAATAAACTGAGATTTGGATCCTAAAAATGAATTAAAATATATTTTAGAGCCGAAATAATCAATGGAAGCTTCAGATCTTTAAATGCCTGAAGTTGCGATGTTACAGGGAAGGGAGATCTGAAGTAGCCAGGAACTCACTGAATATGTTCCTCATCATCCTGTTCTTTTTTTTTTAAGCATTTGTCCTTTCCTCTGGAGTCTGGTTGATGGCTTGGTGGCCTTTTTTTATTTTTTAATGGCAGATTTACTTGTTTTACTGCAGAGTCAGGACCAATTGTAAATTAACAAGCAGAAATCTGCTTTCAGGATCTGGGTCAGTCATCAGGGCCAAGAGTTTAGTCTTCTGAGCTTTCAGGCTGGTGCTGCAGTCCATCCTCAAGGAACTTCTCTCTAGCAGAGTGTCAACAGGAGTGCTGATTTACCACCAGCTTATCAAGTAGAACTAAGGAGAAACCTCCTGACAGTTAGAACAATTAACCAAGGGAACAACCTGCCTCCAGAAGCGGTGAATGCTCCAACACTGGACGTTTTTAAGAAGAGACTGGACAGCCATTTGTCCGAAATGGTATAGGGTTTCCTACCTGAGCAGGGAGTTGGACTTGATGACCTCCAAGGTCCCTTCCAACTTTAGTAGTAGTACTTAGGCAGTGAGGGCTTGGCAGCACAAGGAAACAACAGCCAACACTTACCGTGTTTCCCCGAAAATAAAACCGGGTCTTTTTTTTTCCCTCCAAAGGAGGCACCAGGTCTTATTTTCGGGGTAGGCCTTACCTCACCTCCGGCACTGACAACCCTACCCAGCCGGTCCACTTCTTCTGGGCTCCAAGTTCTGCAGCTGCATTCGGGCCTGCATTTTGCAGTCAGGTCTTTCCAGAAGGCCTAAGCAGCCGAGTCCCGAGCTATGGGTTCAATCCATAGCTTGGTGCTCGGCTGCTGAGGTCTTGCAGAACCGAGCTACGGATTGAATCCATAGCTCAGTTCATGGCTGCAAAGGCCTTCCGGAAAGCTCTGTGACTGAGAAATGCAGGCCTGGCTGCTGAAGAGGCCGCAGAAGAAGTGGGCCGGCATGGAGAGGCCTGGCTGCAAGATAAATGGGTGTGTGGTGGGTGGGGTAGCTCCACCCCCCCACCCTGGCTTGATTTTTAGGTGTGTGCCGTGCCCCAAAACTAGGGCTTATTTTGGGGATAGGGCTTATATTAGGCCCACCCCAAAAAAATCAAGCTAGGGCTTATTGTTGGTGTAGGCCTTACTTTCGGGAAAACACAATAATAGCCAGCCATCAGCACCTCAATCAACATCTAAAAAGCCACATGCAACAGGT